TACTCAATCTGTATGCTGAACAAATAATCTGAGAAGCTGGACTATAAGAAAAAGAATGTGGCATTAGGATTGGAGGAAGACTTATTAACAGCCTGCAATATGCAGATGACACAACCTTGGTAGCTTAAATCGAAGATGACTTGAAGCACTTACTGATGAAGATAAAAAACTATAGCTTTCAGGATGGTTTATACCTTAACACAAAGGAAACAAAAATCCTCACAACTGCACTAATAAGCAACATCATGATAAATGAAGAACAGTCTGACGTTGTCAAGGGTTTTATTTTACTTGGATCTATGATCAAAGCCCATGGAAGCAGCAGTCAAGCAATCAAACAACGTAATGCATTGGGCAAATTTGCTGCAAAAGACTTCCTTAAAGTGTGAAAAAGCAAGGATGTCACTTGGAGGACAAAGGTGTGCCTGACCTAAGCCATAGTATTTTCAGTTGCCTCACCATGCACGTGAAAGCTGGACAATGAATAAGGAAGGCCAAAGAAGAATTGATGCCTTTGAAGTATGTTGTTGGTGAAGAATATTTAACATACCATGGACTGCCAGAAGAATAAATAAATCTGTCTTGGAAGAAGTACAGCCAGAATGCTCCTTAGAAGCCAGGATAGCTAGACTTTGTCAAACGTACTTTGGACATGTTATCAGAAAGTACCAGTCCCTGGAAAACGACGTCATGCTTGGTAAATTCGACGGTCAGTGAGAAAGAGGAAGACTCTCAACGAGATGAATTGACACAATGGCTGCAACAGTGGGCTCAAACATAGTAACAATTGTAAGGATGGCACAGGACTGGATATTTTGTTCTGTTGTAGATAGGGTCACTATTGAATCAGAAGGGACTCAGCACCTAACAACGTATTTAAAGTTGGCTTTATCTTTGCCTGCTACTTTAACCTGATGGACAGCCAGGTTTATATATTTTGTCTTGAGCTAATTTTTAGTTTTCAGTTCCATCATTCTTATATTAAATTACCATGTATTTACTTAGGTCATTTGTTTAATTGCATTTTGCTTAATTTGTTTTAAAGAGCTTTTCAGAAATTTCTTGAACCCATTAAATGTTTTCAATTGCTAAGAGAGCTAAGCATGACAAAAGAACTAGGTTAAAATATTTAAAACCCCAAAGAAATTCTCCTTTCCTGTTCCAGTAATTTTGCAATTATTTCTTTAAATCAAATCATTGATAACTTTTTTAAACCACTCATTCAGTCAAATCTAACAAAAATCTATAAACAAGGTCATTTCTCTTTGCATTAGCCCTAAGTTCCCGAGAGAGATGTAATATTTCAGCTTTTCCCAGAAGATTTATCTATAAATATTTAAGCCATTATTTAACAGCAACTTTTTGTCATTATGGAGCTCATTATGAGAAAGTGTGAGACAGAGAAAACGTAACATACCTGGAGAGAAGTTAGAATAGAACCAGCACTGCACAGCCTCAGAGTTACAAGACAAAAGAAAACAACGAAATGCATAAGAATAAGATTCAAAGACTATGGGAGACTGAGCTAATTGAAGGGCAATGAGTGTTAATAATAAAGAAATAGAATAAACAAAAAGAGACAAAGGGAATGATGGAAACAAAAAATACCTCTTTTGAAATAAGAAAATGGTGGAAGAATAAAAGTGAAAAAAGGTGAAACCAAAAGACAGAGTCTATGAAACTTGCATTTATGGTAGAAAGAGTTGCAACTGGGTGAGTGAATGCGATTATATATCTGACATGTTCTATCCAATGATTGATCAATAAGTCCAAATGTTATCATAAATTTGTACCATTGATACATCATAACAGACAATCAATATTTCAAATATGCTACAATTTAGAAATAATCTATATATAGCTATTTTTGCTTAAATATTTCATGTTTGTATGAAAAAGACGTTATTTTATATACTCAAAATCAAATTCTTCCCAAATGTAAGATATTAAAATTAGTTATTGTCTTTGTTCAGTAAATTGTTAGAAACTGGATATATTCCATATAAAATAGATCACGCTATAAATTAATTTGAAAAATCTAAAGGTCATTTATTTAAAAACAGTAAATCAAACTGTTTGTCTTTCTGATTTTCTTTAACTTTTGTTAAATCATATGCATAGTCCCATATATATTATCTTAGAATTAATACTAAAAATACTAAAATAAAGAACAATTTACTTAGGTATTAAATGTGTGACATGAGTATCACATACTGCAAAAAAATGAGATCCTGATATCTGACAATTCAGCAGAGTAATTGAAATTAAACTTTTAAATTACCATTTCATAATATGGTAATAAATACTCCATTAATTCTCTAAGTTACCATCATCACAAATTGATTTTGAAATTTTGAAAATGGAATTTGACAAATCTTATTATCTTATTTACTTGACTCTTGAGATTTAAACTAGAACCTGTTCGTATTAGGAGATTGTAGAAATAACTTTGAGCAGTGACTCATATTTGAATATAAATTATCATTTCCTTAAGCCTGCTAATCAGATTCAACAGAGATGTACAAAAAAGTTCCTGAAAACTGCCAACTTTTGTCTGCAAAATAATGTGTCTCTGTGATTAAGTCACTGCTTCACTTTGTACAACTTCGTCAGCCTCTTTGTGTTTCAGTTTTCCTATCTGCAATTCAAGTAAGATAAAAATAAAACTAAGTTAGCAGAATTTACAAAAATTCATTACACAGTAGATGCACATGCTTAGAATAATTTCTGGCAAATAGGCATTCACTATACATTGGCTATTGTTAGCTGTTATTATAACTTGACATTTAAATGATTTCTCCTTGATGATTTTTTGTCAAAAGAACAAATGTACCGCGCTAAAGGATATTAATAATGAGTACTGATACTTGTACTAGAAAAGAGTTGATATGTATACTGGTTGACCAAGAATGACACAGATACTGGGAGATAATACCGCCAAGAAATTTGTGAAAGTCATGATTTAGCATTAATTGATATGGGACATTCTTTCTTTGCATTCCCTATTGTACTACTCACCCCTCAGTCAAAGTTAAGACAATTGAAATGTTTTTCTCTATCTGTATAATTAACTACTGATCTGGCTTCTTGCACTACCTAAGGGAGCCCTGGTGGCACAGTGGTTAAGCTTTCAACTGCTAAGTTAAAGGGGCAGTTAGAAGCCACCAGCTAATGTGTAGGAGAAAGAAAGATGTGGCCGTCAATTTCAGTAATGATTTACAGCCTTGGAAACCCTGTGGGGCAGTTCTTCTCTGTACAATAGGGCCATTATGAGTCCAGACACCACTGGGTTAAGCAAGCACATCTTGGAAAACTAATGCCATTTTTGGTCTGTAGATTATTTGTTTAAAAATTAGAAGAAAACAAAATCATTATTGCTCAGAGTGTGATTCCTGAACAGGGACATCTTCTGGAAGCATGAGTGAAATGCAGACTCACAGGCGCCATCCCAGATGACTGAATTGGAATCTGCATTTTGACAACAACCCCAGGTGACAGACATGCTGAGTAGTACTTGAGAAGCTCATATCTAGATGACCTTAAAATCCTTTCCTCCATAAATGAGGTATGGCTGATGCATAGACCGTTTACTTTATGGACACATTTTGTGGTCTATATACACTCACTGATGCTGAATACATGTAGAAAAAACTGAGAGTGATGGAGTATAGGACATTTGTTGAGTTTAAAAGTGTGATACATGGAGAAGAAAAGAGGGAAAAAAGGGAATTCCAAGAGTGAAGTCACCACAGTGGAAACAATACCCTAAGTGTCTTGCTCAATATAGAAACATTTCTTGGTGTGAACAATGTATCCGTGTAATAGACAACTTTGCGTATCATATTGATGAGTTTAAATATGAAGCAATCAAGATCCATAGTCAAATTGTGAAAAGAGGAAAGTCATTTTGAAACTTTTTAAAAATTCTTAGAGCTTCTGAAGACTACTTCAACTATTGTGATGAAATATGTATTACAACATCTGTCATTTCAACAATTTCTCGTCTACAATTTAGTGACATCAATTATTGGTCATGTGGTGAAACTACCACAACTGTCCATTTCTGTATGTTTCCTATTCTTAATAGAACCTCCGTACCCCTTAAGCAATACTTCTTCACTAATGCATTTGCTTATTTTGAATATCTCATATAAGTAGGACCATACAATATCTGTACTTTTGTGTGACTTATTTCACTCACTGTAATATTTTCAAGGTTCATCTACGTCTCAGCAGGTATTTGAACTTCATTTCTCTTTATAGACGAATAATATTCCATATGTATGTACCACATTTTTTTTATCCATCCATCTGTTGATGGACACTTGGGTACTTTTGAGTACAAAGCCTGTAAATCAGAAGAGCAATTGGGAAGTTATTACTGTCAAATATGCAGGTGACAGAAACCTGTTTGGGAGGCAGATTTTTGAACAAAGACAAAGTTACATGATTTATTCAAGGACCAGAGAGCAGTTGACTTAGAAAATAGTGAACCCAGTTGAAAAGGGATCAGTACTTGTGGGTTTATTTATTTTTATTGATGTGCTTTAAGTGAAAGTTTACAATTCAAGTTATTCTCTCACACAAAAATTTATACAAAAATATGGAATGCTTCACGAATTTGCATGCCATCCTTGTGCAGGGGCCATACTAATCTTCTCTGTATGGTTCTAATTTTAGCATATGTGCTCCCCAAGCAAGCACTGTCGTTGTGGGTTTAGATGTAATCTATGGCTGAAGCAAATGCATGGTAAAGCCTGGAGGCACAGAGGTTGGATTTGAATCTTGTATCTTAAATTTGCAGTCTTTACAAAAATAGATAAAATTATTTACACATTAGTTTCTTAAATTAATACTTGGTTATAATAACAAATGACTCACTGTTGCATTAAATTAACTGACATTAACCATGTACTCTTCCAGGTGCAAAAGAGGCATTCACAGATGTTAGACCTCGTCTGAATGGCTACAGTCAGTTGACACTCTTTCATGAATCCATTTACTTTTATTTTTTGAGGAGTGTGTAATTTGTTTCAAAGTCTTTCAGTCTTGGGTCTCTGTTTCCTGCTTTATTTCAGGACCACAATGGGCACAGACAATGGAAATGTCTCCCAGGAATTTCTCCTGTTGGGCTTTCCAGGCTCCCAGGCCCTTCAGCTCTCTCTCTTCATGCTTTTTCTGGTGATGTACATCCTCACAGTCAGTGGTAACGTTGCTATCTTGATGTTGGTGAGTACCTCTCACCAGCTCCACACCCCCATGT